TGCCCGAACAGCAACCTCTTAATGTAATGTCGAGTTCTCATCTGCAATTGTTAGTGAAAATCTCAAAAAAATTCAATCAAATTCCCCATCTGGAATTGACAATTTATCCGCAATGCTTTTAAAAGAATGCACTTCTTATGTGGCTTTACCTCTAGTCATTATTATGACATCTTCCTTTACATCTCACATACTTCCTTCAATGTGGAAAACTGCTTCGGTGACACCTATTTTTAAAAAGGGTGACAAACTCAGTCCTTCCAACTATCGTCCAATTAGCCTCATCCGAATTGCTTGTAAAATAATGGAATCCATCTCAACCAATTATATGTATGATTTTCTCAAGAGCCATTACGTCTTTCCAAAAGAACAACACGGTTTTATCAAAGGCCGATCCACATTAACAAACTTAATGACCTGTTTAAAGGATTGGCTTACGTTGTAACATGTACTTAGTCCATATTATTAATTTCAAATTAAAATTCAAATATTGTACAAGTAGTTCTATCTAACGGGAAATAGCAAAGTCTAATTAATGAATTCAAGTTTTCTTGTCGTATTTTTGGCATATCGATTTGTATTCATAGTATCGTTATGCGCAAGACACCAAAGGCGAGACGAACCGGTTGAAAGCGTTCTGTCTTTGCTCTCTGAATTTTGCCGTCGTTATTATCTTTTTGCTAACTAGAATTAAGCTGGGGTAAGTCTATTCATAGATTACTAGGTTTTTAGAGTTATTTTCTTATTCTAGCTACTGTTTAATAATTATATCTACTGTTTAATAATTTTCTTTGTCAAATTGGATGTCTTTAAAGGTAAAATCATGTCGGCAGCCATATTTAAAATGGTCAGAAATCTGTGCAGTAATTTTGATTTTAAAAACATATTTAAATATCTGTCCAAAAAAATGGAAGTTGTTTTCTCACAGAAACATCCCTTCCTGTAAAGACATCCTTTATTTGATGAATAAATCATTTTCATTTCTTTCTTTTCCTAATTCAGAATAATTCCTGGACGCCGTACCGTCTTAGGCCATACCGAAAGTCGTATCTTTCAGGAGCCTTTCGAAAGCCCTACAGAAGCCGTATGAAGTTTTTTTTTAAGAAGATCCTAACTTGCTAGTTGTATAGAATGTCAAGACGATAAATGATTCCTTGCTAGAATCAAGCAGTTCAAAGGATTCCGGATTTCCGCATGTGGCATTAGTATAGAGAAACACAAGGTTCTGGAATAGATATCTCTGCTAAGAACGAAATACACTTATCAGAAAAGCAACGCAGCAGTACCCAACAACACCAAAACCAAATCAGATAAGCTTTTATTTTTTTTTATGACAGATTCACTGTAAATTCAATTGATTTATTTTGTTGTTCACAATTTTCTGATTATTTCTCATAAGTACTCATATCTAGTAAAATATTAGACTATTTCATTATTTATTTAACAAATCATTTTATATAAGTATCCTTATTTGGCAAATTATCAATTATTAAACAACCTATTTCTCATAAGTACTCATATCTAATAAATTATTAGACTATTTCAATATTTAACAAATCATTTTATATGTGTCCTTATTTGGCAAATTATCAATTATTAAACAACCTATTATTTACTTAACGAGATCTTATTATTTAGAATTTATTTGCGGGAGTTAGGGGTTGTGATTTACTCTAGCTCCAAAGTCACTTTCATTGAATATTTGCTAAAACAAATCACTGGCGCCCGCAGGTAACTTCTAGGCACCCTCAACCCTTCCTAGTGACTCCATTTAAAGAAACGAGTACGGCCCAGTCCTGAGATTCTCAACAGCCGAGTGCATAACATCATAACCTCTGTTTATGTTCTAAATAGGGGTTATAGCGCGAACAATGTAGCAACGTCTGTGGACAATAAAGAGCCTGCCTATGTCGTATATCTTGATTTCGCTAAAGCCGTTGACCATGTTCCCAAAAAGATTGCTTTATAAGTTGGAAAAAGCTGGCATTCGCGGCTCTTCTCTAGATAAGTGATTTTTTTGTCAAATCGCATCTTCAAGGTAAATGGTGGACAAATGTTCTCGTCACAGTATCCAGTTCTAAGTGGTGTCCCTCCAGGCTCTGTCATAGGACCATTAATTTCTCAATAAATTCCACGGTAACCTATATATTTTATTGTAAAAAATAAAACCTAAATATTTCAAAAACCTTATTTTTAGTTTTTTTTTACTCTGTCTAATCAATAAATAATAGTATACTTAATTATAATTCGAAAATTGTTGTTGAAGTCTTACTTTCTCGTAAGACACTGTACAAATACTCACATTTTAAAAAAAAAATCTCAAAAATTTGCACGGTAAGGTAAAAGTTCACTATTAGATAAATACGGACTCCAACTATTAGAAAAAAATTGATTTTAGTCATAATCTAATATTTTTTATTTAACATTGGTGGCGAAAGGACCTCCTTAAAATGCCACCAAATTTCGATCTGCAATCACCAAATGCAGCATCAGAATGGAAGTTTTAGCAAACCGCTTTTCAAGACTATTTAGTGGCGACAGGCCAAGACAGCGTCCTTCCAAGTGTTAAGTTAAGCATCTTACAAAATATAGGACATAACGGCGCAAGACTTATGACAACCTTTGAAATTCCCCAAAATGTGGACCAGTACCAGAGTATGTTGGACGAAATAGAAAAATATGTTAACCCGAGGAAAAACGAATGCTTTGAAAGAGTTTCGACCACTTTCTTACAGATTGTCGTCACCTTATTAAGACCTGTAATTACAACACAGTTGACCGAAATCAGACCCAAGACGCCAAAGCCTTGAGAGATAGGATTGTTACAGGGATTAGGGACACCATATCCAGAGAAGCCCTACCAAGGATAGACGATTTAACTTTAAACAAAGCAATACATTTTTGTAGAACATCCGAAGAAAGTAAGAGCCAGAGTTTGCAGTTCAGGAGACCGAAGCAGAAATAAATATGGTAAAGAATAACTAATAATGTTTATATATGGTTTTTAACGTATTAAAAACAAAACAAATATTACACAATAACTAAAATATTCACTTTTTAACATAACAAAACACTAATAATCCTATTTTCTTCAATGTAAATCATATATTTGTGTCCACACGCCCGTAATCTAAGGGTCACTCTGACTTTGATCCAACGTTGCCATATTTAGTAGATTTCTATTTTTTTTTAGTAAATTTCAACTTTTTTGGCAAGTTCTTAGTATTTTTTTTTTTGGTAAATATTAGATTTCTATAAATTAATAAAAAAAATCCAATTACTCAAATAAAACTTCCTATTTAAATAATTGTATTGCTAAAAACGTTAGGTTATAACTAGTATATACAACATTGGTCATGTAAAGGTGAACATTATTAGCTAGGTAGCATCCTCAAATTTGTTTTCACTTCAACAAAGATTAAATTTGATTCTTCAGTAGATTTCTATTAATTCTTAATTCTTAGATTTCGTATTACTCTCAAAAAAGAAGGCAATTCATTTTATTCTACCCACCCAAAAACTAAAACCCACGAGCCGCCACTGATTTACATAACTATTTCGATAAACGTCTAAGAAAAATCAGTAGATCTAATGACAAATTGGTAGACGGAACAACACTGCCATCAACGTTACTTTCGGTGTATATTTTCGTCTTTATCAAGGCCGAAAATATATATTAGTTGAAAACAAATAAAATTTTACTATGTAGGAAAACATACTAATAGCACTAATAGTTAAATGGTTTTGATTGTAATAAAAGATACGGTATCTAATCTGAAAATAAAATAAATACAAAGGTCACCATACTTTAATTAGTTATACGTTCTCACGAATTCTAAAATACTATAATTCTGTTTTTAAAAATACATTTCAATATACATTTAAGTTATTTATTAGGTAATGAGAAAGGAAAAAATCTTTTTTATTTTCAACTTTTAGAGAAAATGTTATTCTTCATAAAAGTTCTTGATTGTTTCTAAATAATTTAAATAAAAGTTGAATATCTTTGCTTTAGTGAAATAATGATTATTTTTGCCATTATTTCACTAAATCAAAGAGATATTAAACTTCTGTTTTGATTATAGACCGTCAGATAGTGACCGATTTAGGTGCCCCATTTTCGCATACAAGCCTCGAAGAGGGTTGAAAAGTACATCGATGTTGAGTAGAATAAAAGAAAATTTATGAGTGGCTGCTGGGGATAAAACATGGAAAATTCGATTTTCCTCATCAGAAAAATTTTCCAACCCCAAAGTGCAATTATACATTTGGGTCGTTCAAGAAAATATGTTTTTTGGACTAGTGATGACGTAGGTTTTCATATATTCGATGGGCTTGTGTGGAAAAATCGGGCAAAATCTCGATTTTTTCTTAGAAGATTACGCCCTTATTTCAACCCTTTAGCTACTTGCAACATTAAAGCCTTTGGTTTTCCGAAGCCTAATTCTATTAATTAATCATATAGTGAAACAGCTTGCGTGGAAAAATGGGCAACAAATAACCTTTCGTTTTTTGTAAACTCACAGTGATTTCTATTCACACTGGTCAGTATTTCATCAGTGCTGTGCAGTGCAGTTTATAGCACTGGTTTTGGACAAAGAAATGGAAGAACGTGTAGAAGAACAGATAGCAAGACGACACTGGGTCCATCCAGCATGGAAAAGAGAGGTACCGAAGGAGAATTTATAACATTATACAAGGAACTAGTAGACGATGTAGCAAAATTTTTTGAATACTTTCGGATGTCAGAAAATTCGTTCAACCTATTGTTGTGCAAGATAGAAGTTCATTTGAAAATGCGTGACACATACTGGAGAAAAGCAATCACAGCAAGAGAAAGACCCGCTGTTTGTTAGGAAAGTATATGTTTTCAATCTGATCTAGATACCTTGATATTTATTAAAAACACTCAAAAAATAGAAATTATTTTATTAGAAAAATGTGGTACAAACAAATCGAAAAAAAAGTACTTAAATCTCAAACTCATTTGTGCCTGAATATTTCTAAGGCAGGGTTTGGAAATACTCCCTCAATGTTAAGTGGATTGCTTCATTCTCCTCACTTTGACTAGTAGATGATTGTTGGCCTTTCCATGAAAAGGTTGATTGTTTGCCATCCCAAGGAGAAGGTTGTCCAGTCGAACACGTTTCATTAGGACCTGTGCAAGGAAATTGTTGTTGTTTGTTCAACATATTAAATTCGAATTTTTGGATAGTAGCAAATATTTCAGCTTTGGCGAAATGCCACTCTTGTGCGGATAATTTTTTTACAGCTGGAGCTATCCCTGCTAAGAAAGCTTCAACAGGGTGCTGCGTTGGTGGTGGGCAGTTAATAATTTTATTTCGGTCAACAATATACTCCATAACTGTAGAAGCAGCCGTTTTGGGGGGGAGCAGTAGGCTTTGTTGGTATTGACAGCTTTCTAATTTTTCGTGGAATGGTACCTGTTGCTGTTGATATCATTGAACATTGATTTTCTGATTGTGTAGTCATGGTACCGTTAACTTCTGAAACTGTACAGTCTTGATCTTGAGTATTTTGGTCATCTTCGGTATTTACTTCGGCCTCAATGTTCGTCGTGGACTCCCTCTTCTCAAAGGATTTCTTCAAAAAGCTTAACTGCGCTGAATATTTGTAAGGCTTCACTTTTTGTTGCTCATAGTTCATACCTTCTGTCTCTTTTTTGCTGTTATTGTAAGTCTTTATCTCCCAATTACTTGTATGGTTTAAAAGTTTGTCTTCTACAAATACACCTTTTGTTTTTTGTTCTTCGTTTTTTGTTTTTCGTTTTATGTCATTTGTGTGTTCGAGAAGACATTCTTTTAACGAACCAATCGTTATTTATTATTGTAAAATATACTTTCTGTTTGTTAACCCTTGTCCTGTAATTGGGGTTAGCCCCCCCCCCCCCGTGTATATTGTATAATAAATAAATTAAATACATAAATAAAATAAAAATAAACAATAAACCAATATTTTATAGTGTTATCGGACCCAAGAAAAATGTTCGGAATATTTATTTTAGACTAGAACTCTTACGCTTGCCAAGGCACAAGGAAAAATAAGACTGGGTAGATTATTAGTGAATTATTTTACAACTATACTTTTAAATTCTTTAGAAGTAGTCTAGACATGTTTTTAATATTTATGAGGGAAACGATTATTCATTAAGATAATTTCTTACATACGTAAATAATGTAAAAAACGTCTAAGAAATTTATGATACTCCAAAAACCACGAATAAATTGGATTATTTTTCCAGAATTCTGTGTAATGTTAAGTCAATAGAAAAATGAAAGATAAAAACAATAATAATACTAACAAGTGTTGAGCTTTCACGAATATTACATTAAAGAGGAAGAGCTGGTAATGTGTTTTAGCAATTTATCTGTAAAATTCCTATATACATTTCGTATTGGATCTTTTACAAATAATATTTCAGAATGTTGACTTAAGTTCTCCAAACCTAAAATAACAATTGGATAATTGCATTGTAGTCCAAATAGAGTAATGCTACCGACTTAAAGTGCAATTGTTATGAAATTCTGGAATACTTTAAATCACCACGGTCTTAAGGGCGCAGTATCACTGTATTTTTCATATAAAAAGCAAGGGTTCACCATTTCCGATTGCATTTAAATCCCGCTAAATGTATTAAAATGAATCTTCTACCAGCTTAAAGTATAAGGTTTGGAGAATGAAATCTCCTATTTTTTATTTGTCCTGTTTATACACTGAATTTTAAAAAAAATCATAAAAAGTGATTTTAAAACCACAGGCTAAAAAGTAGGAGATTTCATTCTACATATTTTTCCAAGTATCCCGCCAAAATATTTCTAAATTTTATTGCGTATTTTTCAAATCTAACTGGAAATACGATTAACAAATATTTGATAAATTTATTTGTCAAATTAGAGATTTTCTATGAATTCCTGTAATTGTGTATAGTTCATGTAGTTCATCTATTTTTAAGAAGATGTCACCGTAAAAAAATCTAGCTACTCTGTTTTAGAGATGGTTTTAATATGTAAATGATTGTTTAGAGGTACCAATTTTTGAAACAATGATACAGCTGTATGCCGTCTTTTATTGTTTCGTGATTTTCATATATATTTGTCTCGCTTTGCGTTCCAGATACAAAATTATCGATTTGTGTTCTTTGCGTATGAACAAGTATTGGCCACGTTGCCAGATGTACAATAAATATCGATTTATACGATAATTTCACAATTTTTTCTCAGGCGAATTTAATTTTAAAGTGGGTGAAATGTGAAATGCGGGAGAGGAACTTTATTGCATTGAGATGTAATTTGAATCCGAATGACCTGGCATCACTGTATGGTACGCACGTAATATTTGCGGGACTTGCTTTCTTCTAATGAATGTTATTTTATCTTTATAAGGAACTTTATTTCTGAGTTAACACGTTGACTGCTATGTGTATATGTACCCTTGTGTATGTCCCATTAGTGCGTAATTGTTCAATATTTTAAATTGTGTTAAAGACACGCAAACATGTTTCAAAGAAAAGTTATATGGATTTAGAAAATACATATTTTAAAAATATTTTTGGATATACAGGGTGTTATATTTTTGCCTGGCATATTTTTTAAATAGAACAACATGTATTTTATTTCAGTTTTAGAATGATTTGGTAATACTGTATTCAAGCCTAGAATGTTTAAAAAAACTATTACAGGTTTGCCAAGCAATTAAATTTTTATGAAATTAGAGAATGATATGCAGACCCCAAATTAAATTATCATAATTTGGGTAGGATTACATTAATTTCAAAATTGTTTAATATACACACTTGTAGCACATTAAGATAACAAATAGTGTTGATAGTGCTGGATTCTTTTATACCGAGTGTTTTGAAACTTGTCTTATATATGGCTACTTTGAGGTTTAATTTACTTAATTTTTTCAAAGGCAACATATTTTAGCATACAATTCTTTATAAATTTGCCTGTTCAACAATACCAACATGTTAGAGAATAACACCCTGCAGGTAGTTATACATATTTGATTGTTTTCAGGTTGTCAAATAATTTTAATTGACTTCATTCATTTGCTATGTTATATGTAGGGTGTATCAAAGCGCGAGGTTACGATTTTTTTAATTGTTTCAATGGAATTCACTGTATTAATTAATTGGTGGTATAACATAGAGAGTATCACATTTAAAAAATTGAGAAAATCGTAACCTCAAATTTTGACACATTCTATATACAGCATATCAAATGAATCAAATTGAAAATATTGTTCGACGATGTAAAAACAATCAAATATGTATAACAACCTGCAGGGTGTTTTGCTTTAAAAATGCACACTGCATATTTATGAATAATTGTCAAATATGGTCATACAACTTTTATATTATTTTTTTTTCGTATTTCCTATCATAAAACTCATGTGTTATTGACTATCATATTGGTATCGTTGGATATGTAAATTTATAAGGAATTGTATGTTTAAATAACATACAGCGTGTGACATTTGAAAAAATTAAATAAATTTAACTTGGAATTAGCCATATTTAAGACTTGTTTTTCAAAACACTCTGTATAAAATAATCCAGTTCTATCACCACTATTCGTTAGCTTAGTATCTTATTACTATTTTTTTCAATTAAATTATAATTTAATTTAGGGTCTGCATCATTTTCTAATTTCATAAAAAAATTAATTTATTGGCAACCCTGCAATATTTGTTAATAAAGTTCTAGGGTTAAATGCAGTATTACAGCATTGCATGCAGCATTCTAAAACTGAAGTAAAATACAGGGTTTTTTATTTAAAAAATATACCTTTTTATTTGTCAGACAAAAACGCAAAACACATGTATGTCTAAAAATATCTTTAAAATACCCATTTTTGAAATTCATATAACTTTTTATTTAGAAATTATTTACGTGTCCATAACACAAATTGAAATATTGAACAATTACGCACTAATGTATGTCCAGGGCCGACTAGAGGGGGGTAGCCGGGACTAATTCCCGGGGCCCGGGCTTAAATGGGGGCCCGGCAGCGCTGTAAGGGGGCCCGGCAAAGTTTTTTTTTGTTCTGCATGAGAAATTCGATACAAGATGAGAGAGGGAAGTTAAGTTTAAATTAATTAAAAGCTTTAGCCTAGAGAAGTTTTATTCGGGTGAGGACTTTTTTTTTGTTTAGAAGAAGAAGTAATTGAAAGGGAGAATAGTTTTTGATGTAAAGACCTTTTAAATTCTATTTCAGTAGAAGAGGAACAGTTTTTGGTTAAAGATTTTTTTGTCACATGGCCCGATCTAGCGAATTGTCCTGGGGCCCGGCCTGGCTCTCGGCGGCCCTGTGTATGTCCTGAATATATTATTAACAATATATGCACGCCACATATGTTTGTAATAATTTAATCCCGCGCCGCGTGTATGTATTTTATTCGCGCATCTATTAGATATTGTAGTTTACCTAAGTATTTACTTAAACTACTTAAAACGTAAAAACAGACTTAAATTTTTAGAAAAACTACTTCGGCTCAGCAGACCCGACCACAACATTTGCTTCGGCAGACAACGTGTTTTAAATGCTTTTTTATTTATTTGTTGTTTAATGTGTATTTGGTTATTAATATTTCAAAAATGCTTATTTTTCTTATTGATTAATCTAAAATGAACACGTAATTTTTATTAATAATTGAAAATAGTACTGTAATTCTAAATTGATAAAAAAAAAATTATAATAAAAACTTAATATGAAAACATAAATTACGACTCTACAAATGAAGTAAATTTTTATAATTAATTTCTCTTTTCTTACAAAAACATTATCTCAGCAATATGTCATAAGTTGCATACACACAGTATGTCTATGTAAGTTGATAGCATATAGAAAACTTTTTTTATTATTCATTTTATGTAAAAGTTATTCTTTATAAAAATGTATGCATGGTCTAACAGAAAATGCAACCACCCGATATCAAATTTTATCAGTCGGTTTTACAAGGTTTGTCAAAAAATTTATTTTCGACAAACCCTATATACGACTGATAAAATTTGATATCAGATGTTTGAATTTTAGGTTTTAGACCATGCATAACTTTTTATGTAAAGTAACTGTTTTTCTAAAATTAATAGTCCATTCAATTGTTTATGAAAAATAAGATTTTTTCTTAAAATTCTTAAAAAAGTTTTCCGTATGCCGCCAAGTTACACAAACATACTACATATAAATGAGATTAAATTTGTTGAAAATAATTTTTACTGATGCAGATCTATATAAAGTATTGTGGGTAAATACGGTAATAAAAACACTTTTTTATTATATTTTTCTTTTTTTTTATTTGATTCATTGGCTGCAAGACCTTTCGGTATATACAGGGTATT